GATGATGCGACGGTGGTCGGACCACCACAGAACTGGTCGCCGGGATGAGACGGTCCTGATTGCAGGTAGTCTGGGCTGAAAACTCGCCGGAACAGTGCTCTGGTGGCCGGAACAGTGACGAGCGGCGGTTGTTGGCGGCCGGAAGTGGTTCCGGTGGCCTGAACAGTGACGAGCGGCGGTTGTTGGCGGCGGGAAGTGGTTCTGACAGTTGAAGAAACAAGCCGGAGAGACACACGGCTTAGAGAGAAACTCGCCGGAAGAATGCACGGTAAAGTAGAAGAGAACACCTAAGCAGTGGGCTTAGGGTTTTAGCGGAAGCGGATCCCCAGAGCGAAAAAGCTCTGATACCAAGTTAAATGTAAAAGAATACGTTGTGTATTGATCTGTGTCAGGGAGTTACAATATATAGAGATCCTAATGGGCTTAAGTGTAAGGCCCAAACCTAATCCAACCCTAATCCTAATACAGTCAGAATACAGTCAGACTATTTACGGATAAGACAGAATCCAATCATATCTAATCAAATCTAATCATATCATATCTAATATTCTAACATTACTGATAGAATCCACTTGGCTTATCTCTGTACCATGAGAGAACTATTCTCATGAAACATGAGAATAGTATTCTCCAATGTTTTATTATGTTTATCTCTCTATTCAAATATATAACTTCTCACGTGAGTCACTTATAGAAGTAGATCCAAACTTTCCTTGGCGTTGAGGTTAGAAGAATCCTGGGCATGGGTTTGTGGGGAAGAACCAGAGAGAGGACCATCTTGCCAAAGGTGGACCAACTTGGTAGTACCACTTGGAAGAGTGAGTGTAGCATAAATGGTCACCTCACTATTCTGATAAGTAGCTGTCAAGCCTGAGTTAGGATAACTGATGTTTCCCTCTGTCAACTGGGTGGTGTAGCCAGAAATGGAGGAAGTATAGACTCTTGGTGCACCACTAGATTGTGGTATAACCACCAAAGCCTGTGCTCCAACCATAGCTTGATTAAGGTTGCTGTTGGGATTGATAGCCCATGAAACCCACCTGTCTGTTGAGGTGATCCCAGTGTGTCTGAATGCTATTTCCAGTTTCCCTGTGGTCTGGTCATAGGTCCAGTGGAGGTACGAGGTTAAGTGTGGAAGATCACGGCATGAGGTGAAAACCTTGTTGTTTGTGAAGGTTTGTGTATTGCATGTCTGTGCCAAGGATGTCAGAGACAGAGTGCTCAAGACAGAGATGGCCAACACAATCCTCACCATCATCAACTTTTCAACCATGTTGACACAATCCCCTTCTACTCTCTCTCTTCCCTTCCTTGTTTGTCTCTTTCTGCGGCCAGCAAAACAAAACGCTTTAGGTTGTGGGAGAGACGGAGAGAAGATGGGGTTATTATAAGAGTGGGTGGGTTTAGGTAGTTGAGTGGTTGATGTAACACGATGACTAAAAGTATGGTGAAAATTAGTTAAAATCGGGATTTTACCTAAAATCGAAAAGAGGATAAAAAATTGTAAAACGTAAAATTTTAATGTAAAAAAAATCATAAAAAATTGTAAAATTGTAAAAGCATTTGAAATTTTGATACAATCGTTTTGATTGAAAAAAATCGTAAAATCGTGAAATCTAAGATTTAAATCAGAATTTTAACTACCATGGTCAGGATAATATTTTTTATTTTTTTATTTTTTTATTTTTTATTTTTTATTATTTAGAAAACTCTAACAAAAAAAAAAGGTTACATTTTTTAGTAATCACCGAAAATCTAGATGCTAAAATTCATGGAAAGTACGAATTATTATATTTTCAGGACTCGTTAAATATCAATTTAAAAGCTATAATCTGAAATTATAAAGGGCTTGTTATTTCTGTGTCATGAGTCATGACAGTGTCCACCCGCCCCATGAGAGGAAGCTTCCATTACGTGTGTAATGTTCACGCAATTTGATTTGTTCTACAAAAAATGGAAATTCCGACTTGTGCAGTTGAACAAGTTTTTCTACCTTTCCGAAACAACCATCCCTTTTCACACTTGTCTCTTTGTATAGCTCCAGTCCACACTTCACAAACCTTTTCTTTTTCTTTTTCTTTTTTTCCCACTTTCACCGAAAATCGAAAATGAATATATATATATATATATGGAAAACTTTTTCTCATGTTGCATGAGAATTCAACTCTCATGTTAGTGACCCTTCGATTTGCGTGCAAAGCTTTCTTTTTCTTTTTCTTTTTTTAATAAATATGGGACATACCACTAGTTGAGTCACAACATGAGAATTGAATTCTCATACAACATGAGAAAATCAAATCCCATATATATAATTCAAAAAACCACAAATTGCAATGTTAGCAATCAAATATAGATTAATTGCATCAGGGTGAAATGAAATGTAATTGGAGAATAAAGATTTTAACACGAATACCGAGACTCAATATAAGTATATATTCAACAGTGCAAACACTCGTACACGAACTTTTTAATCTTTATAATTCTTTATTAATAATTAACTATTAAATTGACTTTCATTATAAACTATTTTAAAAATTTAATCTCTCCAAAAAATATAACACCAATCTGTCCATGTTTGACCGTTGACCACCAAGCCTACCCGAGTACATCTCTCCCAACCCGGGTATTTTTCAAAAATTTATGCCTACCCGGGTAGGGAGGGTGTACCCGGGTATAGTTCTTGACATCTTGAAAATTGCTTGAATTATTTACCCGAGTAAGAAGGGGTGTACCCGAGTAAATCTCGACCAAAAACCCTAAAACCGAAGAAAAAGGCATCCAATTAAATAGGTAGCAAGTAGTGAAAATGACATCGTCCCAAAACCGGAAGGAACATTGCCATGGAGTAAGAGAATCTTAGTGGTTTCAATAAGATGATTTTTGCGCTCAACCTCACTTTGTTGAAGGATATGCGCAAATGAAGTTTGGTAAAGAATGCATTGTAAAGAATTTTGGTAAAAAGGGAACAATAATTTTTCTGAATAATTCAGATTTCTTTCTTGCTTTTCATCAAAGGGATTAGTACAATATATAGAGAATAAAGGTTTTACATCAGATCAGCCTTTTTGCTAAGATGAAGGTACAATCCTATAAATCAGCTACACACTAATTAGGAAAGAAATCAGCATAAAAAAAAAAGAAACAAAATTGTAACAGATTATTAGGAAGAAAATAAATACTAATTCAAAAATAAATAACTTCAGAATAATTTCAAGAAATCAAGCAACGATGGAGCGTATTTCTTGGGGCGCAATCAATGGGGATCAATTATTGTGGTGCATAACAATACATTGAGATGCCATAAATATTTGAAATAGTTGAGATAATATTCGAACGGTTTTGGGATTTCTGGTCGAGATTTACGTGGGTACACCCCTACCTACCCAGGTAAATAATTCAAACAATTTTCCAGATGTCAAAAACTATACCCGGGTACACCCCTCCCTACCCAGGTAGGCATAAATTTTCAAAAAATACTCGGGTAGAAAGGGATGTACCCAAGTAGGTTTGGTGATCAACGGTCAAAAAGGGACAAATTGGTGTTATGTTTTTTTGAGAGGTTAAATTTTCAAAATAATTTATAATGAAGGTCAATTTGATAATTAATTATTAATAAAGGATTATAAGGGTCAAAAAGCCCCCGTACACGCATGCAAACATTTACGGCCATTCTGTTATATTAGCATGCATCGAAGGCTAATATTATGTGCAGTGGACACTTTGTACTATCACTTACTCTACCATGCATTAAGACTATGTGAGACGTAACAGGGATGATTTGTTAAAAATAATACACAAATTAGAAATTCCATTTCTGTTACTCAAACAGAAATTCCGATTAATCACATAAATTAATCTTTTAATTGCACAGTAATTATAAACACTATATTAAAGTAGAAATATAAAATATACTGATCACAGGTTCAAAACACTAAATTGTCTTAATATTGTTATTTGAAGACAGTGGGTGATATTAAATCACTAAGAGATTTGAACCCATGTATAGAACAGAAGAGATTAATGTTCAAAATTATCAAATACAGTGCAATAAAGAAATTAGAACAGACTTACAAGATGTTAGATAATGGAACAGAATGATCAATATATGTAGGATAGTGTAGAAAATTCGAGCCCACAGAATGTGTCTCCTTAAGACAATTTGCCCCGTCACTAATGCCAAAGGTTGATGGACACTCGTCTCCCAGGATAGAACGAATTGCGTTTGAAGATTAGTAGCACTACCAGTCAACAGCCTGAACGAACACAACAAGATGCTAGAGGAATTACACCGGAAAAAATATAAGGAAGTATGCAAAACCGGATGAAGGAAAAAATCCGACAGAGTAACAGTGCAAAAAACTGAATGAATATTTTCTGAAGGGGTCAAGGTCTATATATAGAAAACGTAAGGTCACGTTTCAAAAGGCACTTATTTGATGACGAAACAACACATCCGTTGGACACGAACAGACACATTCGTTCAACACGAAAAGACACTCATTCAAGGATGAAACAACACGTCCGTTAGGATGAAACAACACATCCGTTTGGATGAAAAGATACATTTGTTTGTCGACGAAATGACACACATTTTCACTACCAAACTTCTTATTCATAACTTATATGGGATTTAGACCAAAATCGAACAAGACATAAGCATCGTCAAGAGATACATAACAGCTTTCAAAGAATCAAATAAAGGATATAGAAATATTCTTCTGCTTTATACAAAAAGGTTACTACTTTAGTTTACAAAAAAAAAAAGTTACTACTTTATGACTTAATGGATATGAAAATTATGAATTCCCATTATCCCAATTCATATTGTACATATAGAGAAACTCCCACATCTTAATTGTAATTCATCATAGTTCTAGATCTGCATTCATAGCAAATACAAATAAGCTCATGCTTTCATAAACACTTAGAAACGGTTTCTAGATTCTTATTGAAGACTTAACTTACTAAAGAAACCATACCATAAATGGAAGTCGGATACCTCAAACAAGATCCAAGATTTCCTTGGAATTGAGGTTACCAAAACCCTTGTCATGCATGTGAGGGGTAGAACCAATGAGAGGACCATCTTGCCAAAGGTGGACGAAGGAGCTTGTACCCTTTGGAAGAGTGAGAGTAGCAAAAATGGTAACCTCATTATTGTGACAGGTGGCCTTCAAGTTTGAGTGAGGATAACTGATATTTCCCTCTTCCAAATGGGTGTTGTAGTTAGAAACGACGGAAGTATAGACTCTTAGGGCACCCCCAGAATCTGGGATAGCCGCCACAAGAGCTTGTGCTCCAACCTTAGCATTATTCAAGTTATTCTTGTTGGGATTGATAGCCCATGCAACCCACCTATTGTTTGACATTATTCCGGAACGTGTATATGCTATGTGGAGCTTGCCAGTGTCCTTTGCATAGGTCCAATGGAGGAAAGAGGACAACTGAGGAAGATCACGACAAGTGGAAAAAACCTTCTTGTTAGGGAAAGTGTACCCTTTGCATGTCTGAGCTGATGATTTCAGAAGCACACAGCATAAAACAGACAAGGCCAACACCAACCTTAACATGTTTGAGAAGATTATATATGGTATTGGTTCTTTCTTTCTTTCTTTCTTTTTGCTGCCAACGAATGCTTTAAGTTGAATAAAATAGAGCAGGTTGTGGCAAGAGTGATAGTGGAGAGGAGGATTTATATAAGAATTTTGCGGATTTTGATAGTTGAGTTGTGCATGATTCTTTAAAAGAATAATTGTTAGATTTATTAGTATTTTACATTAGCAATTTATTAATACCTTCCTCGGAAATCAACCGCGAGTGGCATGAGTATTGCTACATTCCATGCAGTGAACTTGCATGCTCAATATTAAAATCCAAATTTTTTGAGAGTCTTGCTACATTCCTTGTCAACTTCTTTTTTTAAATTTTATTTAAAATATAATGTTCTCAAAGTAAGATTATTGAGAAGTTTTTTTCTTTACACAATTAATAAACACATTTGAAGTGATCACTGCAGGTAGCGATACTCACTGCCACACAATCTCACAGTAGACTTACGACGATTTTATTATATATACACAAAATGAATTTCTATTTTTATTTGTTTTCCCCTCAAATGAGTGGCGCTTGATGTGGAAAGCACTACTAACACTTCAATCAGATGCATAGAAATCTATATCTATTTTTTTTTTTCAATAAAGGTGGACAAAGTTGACTAAGGGTTTGGTCCATACCTCATACGGACGTGAGTTCAAACCCCGCTGACTGATGTGAGGATTTTGTTAATGGATGATATGTACCGGAAATCTTCAAAAGAGATTGGGAGTCTTCCCTACTTTAGTGGGATACCATTCTAACCTCATTTAAACTTTTTCTTCTAAAAAAAATATAATCTATATTTTTTTTTCAATATTTTACAGAAAAATGAGTACTATTTGCACAATATCTCGAGTTACAACTGTCAAAGTATATATCTAGAACTGAGTGTGACTCAATTTAATAAAATTCATTGGTGATGCTATTGAACGAGCATTACTAATCAGAGGTAAACCCGTGCAGCAAATCTGAGTCATCTCATATATTTTTTTGTGTTGAAAAAAATGTCCCTACAAATTCAGAATCTGAAAGCCAATTAATATTGTAGTTGCGCTGTGACCTTAGATATTGTTTGAGTAGCATTAATTTTAACCTTAGGTACAAGCTATTATTATCAATTTATTTATTTTTGAAAACATTATTATCAATTTATTATGTACTATGTATTATGCAAATGTATATGTGTGCCATTTTTATTCTTATTTTTTTACGGTACGCGTGACTTTGAGTTAGGCTGGTGTATTAAAATTGCCATGCATAATCTAGTGTAGTTTCAGCTGGTGAACGAGAAGAAATTAAAATGACTTCTATAAAAATTATTGCAGTTAAACACTTAAATGAGTAAGGTACTTACTTTTATATAAAGTACATTAGACGCATATTTGAGTCTTTCACCAGATTATAAAAATAGACCAGTTAATATAGGAATATATAGGATCAAGCTGCCTGAGACACCAAACTATATTTCCTCTTAGAAACGAGTCTAGAAGGGTATACAATTTCTTAATAGATTATGTTCCCTCGCTATTATAATTATGAAATTATATTTTTATCGAGTATATTTTACAAATTTGATTTTCGAAGGACAATTTGAACGAAATGTAACATTAATATTTTTATTTGTTAAAAGTATAATATAAAACTTTTTTTTTTGTCATCCAAGGACTTAATTAAGTTTTTGGCAGAGTTAATTGGGTGGCATTATTTAACTAATATAATAAACTATTATTTTAATAATATTTTGAGTGATGTTTGATGTAGAGGCTTGTAATAATCTATTGAAAAATAATATTCTGCAGAAGAAATTTTGAAAAAAAAAAAAAATAAAAAAAAATCACGTGGCTTAGAATTGGAATTTGGAAGGAAACGGAAAAACCAAAATCGTCTCCTGTCTCCCATTGTGATGTCTCCATGTTGTTTTTCTCTCATCTTGACAAATTGGATCCACGTACAATCAAATCAGTGATAGTCTTATAAAAATCGACCCGACACAATTGGTGAACCAGTCATGAATGTTTATTTTTATTTTAATCGATTTTGTGAATCTTAGAAAAAATACTTGGAAAATAACACTAATAGGATTTTAACTTAGATAATGTGGCCGGATTGTAACTTGTAACATTTACCACTAAACAAACTCTACTTACTAGTTATAATATTTTTAATTTTATATTTATTATATTTATATAATTCAAGAAATGGAAATTTAATGACTCGTTATTTAACCCATTATTTTGACTGAGTTTATAACCAATTCGAGTTTAATAACACGGGATACAACTAATAATTTAACTTTAAAATAAATAAGTTATCGTGAATTTTTACATAACATGTAGAAGTTTTTTTTTTATCCCAAACGAAAGTATTTATGTACAATTTAACTAATACTGTAACGGACCATATCTACATAGTTGGCCCAAGACACACCAGGCCCACTATGGCAAGGAAAGCACCATGTGGCATTATGGGCTACGACATCTTGAGCCCTATTCTAGAAGACATCAGCTTTTTAATAATTTTAATATGTTTCTTATGTTTTGCTTGCTAATATAAGAGGAGGTTATATTTATCATTATTATTTTTTTATCATTTCTTACAATTAATTTTGTTATTTTTGGATCAAAATTAAATCAATGATTATAAAATGACATGAATAAGAATTGTTAATTTAATTTTGATCCAATAATAATAAACTTAATTGTAAGAGATGATAAAGAAAAAAGTGGTAAGTATAACGTATCCTATATTATATTTGAATTTGAAAGTTTATTGTGAACTCCGTGATAAATAGTCCAGAATAGGAATGAAGAAAATGTCAGGGAGTTTGGACAATTCTCTCTCTCTTCTTTCTTTCTTCATGACCTATTCTTGTATAAATGCAAAATGAAACAAAATTGATGTAGATTATTAATACTATCACCCCTACAAAACCTATTAATTATCATGAAGAGAATAAAAGGACTTATCCATAGTGAACCTATTATATTCCGAGTGCACATGACTGCATTATGGGTCATTCAGCTTAATTTGGGTTCGGCTAACTTGTTAAGTGCCACTTGTATGATCGATTGATGTGCATATGCACTGGAAATAAGAGAAACCAATTCAGCATATAGATGTAGTAATTTAAAAATCTCATGAGAGGGTTTTACATGATCAAGCTAAGTGAAAAGGAGGATAGACACCCATAGCAAAATTAGAACCATTTTGCTCGAGTCTAAATGGTATTTTACTGTGCATTGGAATAAAAAAGTGTTGGGGATCTTTTTCTATCTTCCGGGGGCAGTCTCCTTACATAGCACCTAAGTAGGTTCATCCTTGACAGGCACAATAAGGACATTGTTATAGCCAGGGATGGACACAATCAGCCCTCACGTGTAGTTTTGTTAGAGATCAAAACCATACAGCAAAGCGGTGATAGTTCAGTTGGTAGCAAAGGAGCTAAGTAAGTGCAAAGGAAAGGGTTATCATGTCACTTTTGAGAGAAGTTTAAATATCGTCATCTCTAACTCACTTTGCACTCCGGATTAGTCTCATAGCCGATTCAATGAAGCTTATATTAGAGAATAATATAAATCATTAAAAAGGCCCTCACCTAACACCTTAAGATTTTGGGTTGAAGTGGTTCTTAACATAGTATCAGAGCTTCAGGGACCATGAGGTCATAGTAGAATATACAGTAGATTAGCTATATTCTCCATATTGTAAATCAGCTAATTCATCACAGTGCACTTAGTTTAGTTACTGCACTTAGCTTTCAGTTACTCTGTTAGTTTAAGTTGTTAGTGACTGTTCCGCTATCACGGATTCAGTTGCACCAAAGGCAACTGATTATCCTCTCAATCACTGATCTATAAATAGATCTATTGTACAGCTTTTGTAATCAATGAAATACGTTCCAATATGAGAGTCTCTCTTCTCCTAGCTTTTCGGTTCTCTTCCCTGAGCTCTTAGCTTTTCTGGTTTCGTTTATGGTATCAGAGCTCCAATCTTGGGGCCCTGATCCATTTTTCTTGCTTCACCATGGCTTCCGCTACATCACAAAATCCTGATATAGCTTCCTCATCTCCTTCTCGTTCTCCCACTACCTCCAATGAATCAAGATCTCCTATATTTTTCAACACTCAATTGTCAGTAAAGTTGACGAACAAAAACTTTCTGTTATGGAAACAAATTGTTGAACCACCGATAATAGCTCATCAACTAGAACGTTTTCTGATTAATCCTCATATTTCGTTGCGTTTCTTGTCAAATGAAGATCGTGCAGCTGAGCAAGTTAATCCAGCATTTGTTGAATGGGAGAAAACTGGTAAAATGGTTCTCACTTGGCTTCAATCTACTCTCTCAGAGGATATAATCAACAAGATCCTTGGAGTGCGTCAGTCTCATCAAGCTTGGGACAAAATCCACAAATATTTTGATTCAGTTACCAAAGCTAAAGCAAATCAAGTTAGCTCCGAACTCAAGAACATCAAGAAAGGTGATAGAAGCATTGAAGAATTCCTGGCTCGTGTAAAGGCACTTGGTGACACCTTGATTGCAATAGGTGAGCCAATCACTGATAAAGAGCTTGTTCGAACAGTTCTTGGAGGATTACCTGAAGAATACGGTCCTTTCATCACATATTTCAGAGGCAGAGATTCAGGCAATTTTGATGATCTTGAATCTCAAATTCTGGCTCAAGAGGCCATGCTTACCAAGTTTCAATCCAGTGCTTTAAGTCTCAATTCTGTAAATGTGGTTCATCATCCTCCTTTGTTGTCTACCACTGCTAGTGTTCATGAACAAGTGCATAACAGACCACAAGCACCAATTCAACAAAATCCTTATGAACAAGAAAATGCTTTCAGACCTTACACACAGCCAACTCGTGGTAATTGGCGTGGTGGTAGAGGTAGATATCGAGGTGGCAGAAGTACTGGCAGGTCCTTTGTCACTTGTCAACTATGCCGAAAGAGTGGTCATGAAGCCACAA